ACAAACTGGTTACTTCAAACACGTCTGCAAACACAGCTCATCGTTACAAAGTTCACAGCGCTCAGATCAGCTGAGCAGGACGCTCAAACCTCCGTCCAATCAGAGGACCGAGGACGCCGCAGCACAGCGAGCTCTCGTCTAAGCAAACCTTTACTCACTGCTGTCGTAGATGGGGTTGGAGACGACGGGCTTCAGCGCTCGGGTGAAGGCGCCGGTGCTGTCCTGCAGGTAGGCGGTGAACTTTAACCTGACGATGTTCAGGTCCATCGTCTTGCCGAGCTCCTTGGCCTCCTTCACGATGGCCGACTCCTCGACATCTGCAAACACGCACGAGTGCGACACCTTTAATTCTGCTCGTCTGATCGTTACGTTTACGGTCTGACGTTTGTGCGCGGACATGACAGCGCGGCGTGTTCTGACGCTTAAAGAAACAGGAAGTTCAAAAACTGAAAGGAGAAATCTGACTTTCTGTTTCTGAACGTCTGAAACCAAAACGATTACACGATCACAGCAAACCACGAAACGACGACTCTGGACTGCTCAGGTGAGTCTACCTGTCAGGTGACAGTGCGGTCCTTTCAGCCGCTTCTTCTCTTCTCTCAGCCTCCGGCTCAGAACTTCAACCACACCCTTCTTGGTCACATGGAGGATCCCCAGGTTGCTGAACCTACAGGAAGTGACATCATCCATTATGCACAGTGTGTCTTTTCTACATAAAGGTCGTGACTGCAGCGAAACACAGTCAGCGATGTGTTCAGGGTGTTTTCATTACAGTAAAGATTCCCAACAGAAAGCTGCGACTTCCTCTTTGGACTTTTCCAGCAGCACAAACACACAAACGCACAAACACACAAACACACAAACACACAAACCTGCCTCTCTGTCTTTAAACTGTCTGACACTGAATCAAAACTTTAACAAAACAACAAAACACATTTAACTGATAAAGAAAATAAAATAACAATAAAATAAATATTAAATAAAAAGATTCAAAGACTGACTGAAGCTGACTCTGAGGGGGTCGTTGTGTTTTTAATAATAATAAGGCCA